TAATAAAAGTTGCATTACTTAACCAATATTGCATTTGTTCACGCGTGTGCACTGCAGAGAGCCCCCCAAATTTACAGTTCCCAATATCTTGCATGTAAAAATTTTAGTGATGCGAAAAAGGAGGATAGGAAAAAGGAATAGCTGAGCAGAATTACCTTATCAGGGGTGGAAGCGCCAGATGTTACGCCTATTGTGATAGGACCCTCTGGTAGCCAGTTCTCTTTCCCTACCAACTCCCCATGCTGTTAAATGCAACATGTAGATGATCAGAAAATGTTTGTTGACTCGGATTTAGCTTCATAATAGAAACCGTTTACATGCACATACCATCAACTTGTAACTAATTCTGTTTCCAGGACCTATTCTCTTCTCACTGTCAATCCAATAAGATGGAATTCCACGAGCCTCTGCAATTTCTTGTAGGTGTGAAGTGTTACTCGAGTTCCACCCACCAACCACTAGCATGAGATCCATCTGTCCATCAACCAGCTTATACATGGCATCTTGCCGCTCCTGAATGCAAAAGGTTTGGTATAAATAAGAGGATGGTGCCTTAGAGTCAATCACAAAATACAACAGGTTGTTGGTAGCAATAAAACATCATGGTGGATCTTTTTTCTCTGTCGGTGAGAAACAATAGCTTCAATTCATTCAGTTATTTTAACGCTATTATCTTCTTCTCTACGAGGAGTCCTAAATATATCAAGAAAATATTAAACCAAGCAAATTTGGAAAACGATGTCTGGAAGGGAATTTACTTGAGTTGCATCACAAATAGTATTAAAACTTATGAAGTGGTTGTTAATATTTTCCACTCCGTACTTGCGCATCAGGGATCTCTCAACTAATTTTCCTGCAGGAAAAAAAAAATGTAAATAAAAAGAAGAGGAAGAAGCAGCTAAAATCAATGTAAGAAGTATATTTCAAATAGCACAAGAAAGGTATTGCAGGTTAGCGACTAACCAATCTCCTCAGTTTCTCCCTTCAACATTGTTGTTTGATTTGCAATACCAACTTTTACAAGATCTGTATCTGGATCAAACCCTTTGGATACTGCATATCTAAATTTCTGCAAACCAACAATAACATGAACTTTATGCGTTACGGAAGTCTTAGAAGTGAAGAATGCAAGCTATTGTTCTGCACCTCAAGAAAAGCCTCTTTGGTTGAGCTAGATCCATCAAGTTCACCACCCAGAATGTAATCGCAAACATATGTCGCCTGCATCCAAGGATTAATCATTGTAGCTACTTCCAAAAATGGATGCTCATTACTAAACAGACAAGAAAAACAAAAAATATGAAACAGCATATCAGATATACCTCTGCCATGTTCTTTACAATTATATATTTCCTGGCAAAAGAAGCAGTTGCTACAGTCTCTTCATGAGAATATTTTCCATGAATAATTGAAGTGTACTCTCCCTTCTTGTGCTTTTCAACAGTAGTCCATACCTACACAACGAAATTATAGGAAATAAAAATGTAGATGGTCAAAAAGGGGTGTAAAGCATGAATATATACTCACATATAGTCATAATTGTTTTCAGAATGTGTTGAAGGGGAAAATCACCTTCGATACCCATGGGCAAGTTGTATCAACTATTTGCACGTTCTTGTCGTTTAAAAGCAACATCTCATCCACAGCAGCTCCAAAAGCAGGTAGCACCACAACATCGCCCTTATCAACAACATCAAAAATTTTCTTCCCATTCTCAACAGGAATATTTTTAACTTCCATCTCATCAAGCCTCTGGTAAGTAGAAAGTCAAATTATCTAATCAGTATAATTAGTCGAGTTTGATTCTTCCCACAAATGATTAGGTAGTCGCGCTTTAAACATGTAAGTCTCTTGTCTAATGCAAAATTTAAGTTTACTATTTACCAGGTACAAACTGTTTACCTGCAAACAGTAGATATATAAAAAATTTCATAAAAGCCACACTCCCAAAAATGTTTCTAAATGTTGGATTTTGACACCCAATAAATTCCGGGCAATGATGTTAAATCGATATTGGATAAGTTATATCGACACTTTAGTGATGGCTCGACCCGGAAAGAACTTGGGGTCATTTGAAGTAACTTAATTGAGTTAATGTTGCTCGTGATCCAACACTTTTGGATGGTCCAAGTTGTAGCTTATTGGTGGTGATATATTGGTTATTAGGTTTGTTGGCCCATTGGATTGTTTTTTGGTTGTTGGCCCATTAGCTCCTTCATTCTTGGCCCAACTTGTGATAACTTAAGTAATATATATCTAGCTTCCTGCTACAGCCGTTCCTGTGTGTTGGTTTGTGAGAAAGAGAGAAAAACGTGAGGTTTGGCCGGTGTTGGTTCTTCTTCCTTGAGGTTTCAATTGCTACTCTATTCCCTCTTCCTTTGTGGCTTGCAAACCAATCACCAAGTGTCTCTTTGTAGGTTGAAAGCTTGTGGCAACCAAGTGAAAGTTGTGGGTGAGTTGAGCTCAATTGGTGTTCATTTGTTGAGTAAACTGAGCCCGGATCGAAGATTTGCACAACACTGAAAACAATATCCTCTATAACCACATGACAGATCATGACTCACATGTTCGTTGCATGTGGTTATATGAAATAAATGTATACAAACTGACTAAAAGGAAGCTTTAACAGATAAATAAAAAACCCCGAAGCCAATATCACTAGAAGAGAATATCTTCATCAAATATAAATGCTCCAAACGAAGGTGACAGAACAACCAATAGATTGAGAAAAGGAATAAATGAACAACATTTGAACTCAGCCTGTGACTATTATCTACATCCAAATATAGTTGAATTTTGAATGAACGGTAAAATAATGACTTCAGAAACGGATACCTGATTAACGGTGGGGTTATGAATAATTTCATTGGTGAGCCAGATCTTCTCTGTTGGGAATTGTTTTCTTGCTTCATAAGCAATCTGGACTGCCCGCTCGACCCCCCAACAAAAGCCATATGCTTCTGCAAGCTTTACTGTTACATTTCCCAAGGTGTATACATACCCATTCTCCTTCAATCTCTTTATAATGTCACCTGTAATTTTCCATACTACCATCAAATCCAAAAAATAAAGAAGTACAAACAGAGTTTAGCATGAGATCATGCATGCCAAGCTGCAAAAAGAATTATGTGAGAGAGGGAGAAAATAAAACCGCAATTAAGACTCCAGAATACCAGTTAGGCATCAAATCAATATCTCAAAATTATCTAAAGCCCGTTAATCTTGAACAAATATGTATATAATGCAAAGATTAAGATATCTTATGAATCAAATACATATCTCACTACATACACATTTTATGTGTTCCAAGGGAGAATTAAACGGCCTGTATAATAATAAAAATCCTAAATAAGAAAATTTCAAGGAAAAAAAAAATAGCAGCACATTTGTATCTTTAAAACGAAAAATTTCACTTGCACAGGGAAAACAGAAAAATATAAAGCAACTACTAGTCTACCAATGAAATTCAAAAATCAACTCCGAACTAATCCCCTTTTTCACCAAAACAGTTCAAAAAAAATAAAAAATAAAAAATGTACACAAATAGCCAAAAAAAAATAAAAAATCAGAAAACGTACTTGTGTACTCGCGGTTCATGAGCTCAAGAGTCTCCTCTTTGTGTCCAAACCCTTTGCGATTGTAATTCTTGCTCCTAGTCAAGTTATGCCGGAACACCTTAGCGTCAAACTCCGACTCCACGGTAGCCGACGAGGATGAGGCAGCTTCTCCGGCCGCGGAACATCGAACGTAGCAAGATTTTCGGCACCAGAAATGCCGTGTCTCCGGCAAAGAGAAGCCCGGTCCGGTGGAGAGACGAGAAAATTGCAGAGAGATGGCCATGTGTGGTCCTAGATGCGTGAAGAGTGTGACTGAGAGGTAACGTTAGAATTGTATTTGGCGGAACATATGGTTTCGTGTGCCAGGTGCGCAATTTATCTCTAGCGCGCTCGTGATCCTCGTTTTATTTATTTGTCGTATGTACATATTTTTTTTCTCTTTTTCTATATTTTTTCCCTGACAATATTCACAATTAATTGATAAATTAATCCAAGTCCTTATTCTTTAGTAACACGTAATCAAATTCATTTTTGATAAAGTTTTTTTGAAATCATAAATTGTCATAGTTCCCCAACAAAATTTAATTACGTGTTTTTTTTAGCTCTAGCGTGCTCATGATCCATGTTTTATTTAGGCCCCATTTGATACACATTAATGTAAAAATGAGAATGAAAAATATAGTCGTTATGGGCTCTACATAAAAGATAGAAAGTCAAATATGGTGGCTTAATGTGATGGATAACGGTCATATTTTTCATTTTAATGAGAAACAAACGGGGGTTTATTTGTCGTATGTACATTTTTTTCTCTTTTTTTATATTTTTTCCCTAACAATATTCATAATTAATCGATAAATTAATCCAAGTCCTTATTCTTTAGTAACACGTAATTAAATTCATTTTTGATAAAGTTTTTTTGAAATCATAAATTATTATAGTTTCCCCAACAAAATTCTTGAGTATTTACAGTCATTTTCAATTGGGTCTTGATTATACAAATTAATAAAGAGGAGTTCAAGTCATAATCAAATAACTTAAAAGCGGGTCAAACTAAAATTGGCTCAGTTTGGGCCACTAAAGAGGGACACCATACGCCTTCACAATTGTGGGACATATATGAGTGATTGGTATTTTTTTAGGTACAATTATTTTTTTCTCAATTTCTCTTTCTGGCTCGTTTTTGTAGCTCATGTATCATTTTATTAGCTAGATGCCTCATTTGGATGATCAAGTTATGATATTAGGCATATGATGAAAATTATTGTATGATATAAGAGCATAGAAATTATGAGGGCGTTTGTGTTCCCATTTTTATAAAAATGAGAATGAAAAATATAGTCGTTATGCGCCTCACACGAGAGACCGAAATTCAAATTTGGTGACTTGATGTGATGGGCTAGAAATTCAAATTTGATAACTTGATGTGATAGATAACGGTCATATTTTTCATTTTAATGGAAAAAGAATGGAAAAAAAAGGGGGACTATATGAATAACCTTTGACGATTTCTCAATAACACTAAAACGTATAAGCTACTTAATGAAGTGAAAACTGTTGATTAATCAAACACGTAAAATAACTCTTTTAACTTAAAAAAAGAGCAACTTCTAGTATCAAGGCTCTTTTTGATTTTTTAAAAATCATGTCAAATAAGCCATAATTATGCTAACCTCTTACCATGAGAATGCATCATTGGAAAGCAAGGGTAATCAGCGACATCCAAAGTTCTAAATTCATACCTTCGAAACAACCACAAGAATTAACTAAACCAGAAACACAAGATAGGAAACTCACAGTATCATTGCATGTGATGCACACTGCAGATTTGAGCCCGTTTGGTACGGTTTAAAATCTGATTTTAATTCAAGTTAAAATCAAACAATCAATATTGATCATATATTTTATGGGTTCCACAACTTTTCAATCACACATTTCAAAAGCTTCTATCACAATCTACTAAAAATTCTAATTTTAATCCTCACCAAACATTCTCTTCAGAACAACCTTAGGGTGGGAGGAGTCAAAGAAAATTTGGGTAATCGATCCCCAGCTCTAATAGTAGTACACTACGCTATTCTTATTAGGAGATTCACAAAAAAGGCACACTTTTCACCATCCTGAACCTAAACGTGCACACTCTACTTGCATTTCAACTGCTAAAATGCCCACACTTGGTCAGTTTTCTCAATGATTGTTCACTTTACTTGTATAACAATCCCCAATTGAACATAACATAACATAACTAAGTGTCACACAATTCTTGGAAATAAACAAGTCCATGCCACCCTAGTTCAAACATCCATCAATTCACAGGATTTTCCCAGACCAAAGATAAAATAATCATTAGGCAACCAACCAGTGCCTTCAGTTCAATACAAAGTGAAGAAGATTGAGAATAGAATCAGAAAACTGATGACCATGTATAAAATTCCAGTATTCTTCTCTGGCCAGTATCTCTCTCAAATACAAGATTATCCCTCAAAATCCTCCTTGTTAGGAGAAAAATCGGTAAAGTATAAATATATTTCTCAATTAAAAACATGCTATACCTTTTTATCCTAACATTAGAACACCGTTTTGAATATCCATTGAGATTTTGCTGAAGTCTGAAATCTGCACCACAAACAGTGATGTTGGATGTTTCATCTTTTGTTTATATCAGTGGAAACAATTCCATGTGTTCCTTCCAATTTTTATTTGATTATTCAATTACTGATCCATCGCCATGGGGTAAGGGAGAGGTAGCATATGTTTTGACACGCTCCTCAGCCTGCAACGCCTGTGGAGCAAATTTTGCATATATTGTTAGGGAAATTATTTAGCAAGAGTAAATTGAATCGAGCTTGAATTTCTTGATGAATTAATTTTCAAGACGAATACACTTGGTAAGACCAAATGCAGATTCGTTTGAATCATTGTCCTGAATATTTAGTTAATTCACGACGTTTGACAACTGAAATAGCTATAATAAACAAACCTCTTTAGTCCAATTAGCCCGGAGTATTTGCATAATCAAAACAACAGTTTGTAGAAGGCAACCAGCTAACATCCCTGACCAGATTCCTTTCACACCAAGATTAAATTTGAAACCAAGCAGGGCACCTAAAGGAAGGCCAAACACGTAGTAGCACACAATGTTTATCAGTGCGACTGTAAATTGCCACCCTGCACCAACTGCTACCCCTGCAAGTCGGGGAAGAAATCTTCAGTTAATTTACTTTACTCCATAATGAACATACCAATACTCTGCAATTCTGTTACCCTGGATAATGTGTTCGTGTGCACACATGCAAAAGAAAAGTACCTAATTAAATATTTTGAAATACTTTGGACTCAAATTAAAATGTAACACAATTTACCATGGAGTACAGGTAGAATGCTGTTGAGGAAGATGGTTGCTGCCAGGAAATAACCCAAGCGCGATGTCTCTTTTATGACCTCTGGTTTGTCAGAAAACAGTCTGGGAAAATAGCTTCTTGTTGCAAGAATTGCAACAAGAAAGAAAATTCCAAATAATGTTGATGTGACCACGGCCACTACCACAGAAAACTTCGCAGTTTTAGGATGATTAGCTCCAAGTTCATTAGAAACACGTACGCTGCACATTATAATATTGAGAATATTATAAGTACTCAAGGAACTACCACCTCTTCCTTGGATGATACTAATCTTATTGAAATTTTCAAATTTGAGAGCTTTATAAAACCTCAAACTGTTACACAAAAGTAATTTATTCGACCTTTTGAAGCAAAATGGGGACAAAATATCTCAACTCATGAGGGGAGGAAGATATCTTACCTGATTGCAGCATTGAATCCTAGAGTAATCATCAATACCCAAATTTCCAGATTCATACTGTCATATCAATCACAAAAAATAACTAATCAAAAAAGAGAAAGTGGGGTAAAATATCGACTTAAAAAATTTATGAGACCTATATAAACCCACAGGTACAAACTAAGATCACAATATCAAGAGACGGTTAAGGAACTGACCAAATTGATACTGCATCTACTGCAACTTCTGGATTCTTTAACATACCAACCATAAGGATCACCACAGTATAATACCATAGCTCTAAGCTGCCATGTCAAATTTGATATGATTGTAGAATTATATCAATTTGAGTTATTAATTTTACCACAATACTAAAGTGAACTACTTACCACAGCATGATAGCTGATGCAAGTGACAACTTAACAAAACCAGCAAGGGATTTGAATGCTGATAAGGAAAATCCAGTCCATGATTCAGGGAAAAAACCTGACACCACGTAAACGATCTGAGCTAAAACCACTAGCCACCATGATATGTTCTCTGCTATTGCAGCACCAAGCAAACCTGTCCCAAGCTTTGTCACAAGTATCCAATTCAATAGAACATGAAATGCCAAAACCACAACTGAAATTATAGTCATAACCCATATCTTGCTTTGTGATTGGAGAAATTTTTGCACTGGAAAGTTCAATGCATAAGCATACAATTGAGGAATGACCCAAATAGCATACTTCCCGGCGAGCTCGGAAATATTTTTACTTTGATGAAGGTGCTGAAGTATTGGAGATGCAAAGACGTAAAGAGGTGTTAAAAACAAGGTTGTGACTAGGGTTATAATGCACGATCTTTGCATGTAGATTCCAAGCATCTCATACTGTCCAGCACCAACTGCCTGGCCACATAGTGTTTCTAGAGCACTTCCCATTCCTAGCTAATACAAGAAAATAGCACAATATTGAAAAATCAATTCGTATTCAAGTAAAATTTAATATTTACAAGCCATGACAACCAAATTAAATTTCCTAAACCGACATCCTATGAAACACACTAAATTTTTTAAAGTCAATGTTCTACTATCACTAATATAATTGTAATCAAATATCTTCTTTACTATCCAAGGTTCTTATTAGTATTATTTGATCAGAAAACTTTGTGATGAAAACTTTTGTTAGTGAAAAGAAGAGTCAATTTTACATTTAGAGCACTAATATTAAAACCAGAACAGCAAACTAAAACAGCAACCAAGAACAAGTCAATATCCTATTATCCAGTTGATGTAGATCCATCCAAATTTGTCAAACGTCATCTAAAAAGATAGAAAAGTAACTTTTAAGCGCAGCAAAACATCAGACTCGAATAATCACATCATGCAGATAGTTGCCCATTGCATGCAGGACACAAGTTATCTGTGAAATGCAGATCCAGCAGGTACCAAAATTGAAATTCATTCATCACTACCCAACAACATCTGAAGAACGATCATTTCAAG